CCTCACCCCCCGTCCTCTCCTCACTTGTGCACAGAACTTGGACTTGGCTACAGCGATGATGAGCTTCACCACGGGGGAGATCTGGGCCTGGAGTGGAGTCACCGTGTGGATCACAGCTGTGAACTGCTGTGACGGGCTCTTACCTGAAACACACACACACACACACACACACACACACACATGTGTTGAGATGCAGCTCTCAGTGAAGCCCCCTTTCACATCTAAGTGGACACAAAGAGCTGTGTGCAGCACCTGTCGTCCACCTCCCTGACAACACACACACACACACACACACACACACCTGCTCCACGAGTCAACGTGTCTAAAACAGGAAGTCAACTCCTTCCTCTCTTTGAGAAGAGTCGTTCTGTTTTCTCCAACCTGACAAACTGTAGTTACTTTTCTGTATTTTACCAGAAGAGGAACTAATGGAGAGAACAGGAGGAACAGGAGAACAGAGGAGGAGGAGGAGGAGGAACAGAGGAGGAGGAGGAGGAACAGAACCAATCTTCAGACGACCGTCTTCAGTAAACGAGTCCGTGTGTAGAAGTACAGTGAGTCAACAGGAAGCAGGAAGTGGTTCCTCTGAACTCTGCTCTGATAAAGACAGACATCAGTGTTACACGGCACAAACCTACACTCGACAAACTACCAGTCAACTAGTGGTGGAAATGAGGAACAACAACCCAAATGACAACTGTGAAAGGTCCAAATACTGTGCCCTGTAGGACCCCTTCCCCCCCCCCCCCCTCCTCACCGTACAACTTTAATAGACTTGTAATTGTAATTAATATTTTTGATCGATTCCTATGGTATTTGTTTTGGAAATTGGTTTTTTTTCTCTCTCCTAGTACTAGAAGTAAAGAAGTAAACCAAAAGAGTGATGGTATTGGCTCAAAGCTACAAGATGACGAACATTCACAGGTTCGGAAGCCACGCCCAGCCCCACAGATAAACACGTGTCAGACGTTAGAAGCCGACTTGAAGTCCAGGATGACGGTGGTGTCAGATGTTAAGTGTTCTGTGGTCCTGGGACTCAGGGAGGAGCGCAGCCCTGAGTGCTGTTTGCTGTTTGCTGTTGCTCCATCCATCTATCTGACACTGCCCCCCCCCCCCCCCCCCCGACCAGCCATCCCAGGTGGGCTTAGGGTATTTATGGAAGCATGAGGTCTGCCCTTGTGAGGTCAAAGGGATAAGTGCAGCCCCCTGCTGGTTCTACCGTGGGATTTTATGGAACGACATGGACTTTTACTGCTGCCACAGAAGCAAACATGTCAGTTTCCATCAGCTGCTTCCTGGATCATGGTTAATGATCTATAAAAACCATCTGGGAACTTCTGAGAGCCAACACAGACAAACTCCTCAAAGGCAACATCACTTTAAAGATGGCAGCAGCGGAGACGACAGTGAATCAA